ACTAAAATGAATTTAGACTCAGAACCTATAAATAATGGTTTTATTTTTGGAAAAAAGAAGTTACATAACGATATAATTTTAGTTTATGGTAAAAATTACAATTTGGGATCTAACGATATAGTATTGGAACATTATATAACGGTTAATAATCCAGATGACTTATTTATGGGTTTAAAAAAATGTTTAGGATGTTTTTTGGATGAAACAAGCACCCTTGGTCCCCTTGAAAGAATACATAAGCAAAGTAATTGTTTAGTTAAATTGAGAATAGAAGATGTTTATTTTCTTGAAAATTATTTACATTCACATGCAATGATAATACATGAAACTGATTCATATATAGTACCAGATATTATTCAATCACATATTGAGTCAAATATATGGCATGAACATAATTTTATTATAGAACCAATGTTTTTTAAACAAGATGATATTAGATTAAATATTTTTGATTCCAAAATGCAAAAATCAACGCATAATTGTATAGAAAAATATGTTAAAAAAGAAAAATTTAATAAGAACTTAACGATCGAAAAGTTAAACGTTATCAACTACAAATTAATCCAACAATTTGGAGAACAAATTTTCGTATATATAGATGGTTCGGTTATAAATAATGGGACAGAAAATATTGATGGTATAGCCAGTTTACATTTTTACGATAAAGATCATAAATTAATTGATGAATTTTACGTTAATATTGAACATTGGATTTCTCCAAGTAAAGCAGAAGTGACAAGTTTTATACTCGCTTTGATTATAGTTCATAATATTAGTAATGTCGAGATAATTACAGATAATGAATTTATTCTTAATTATTTTAATGAAATTATATGCAAAACCGAAATTTATAATACACGCAAATTATTAAAAACACAGAATAACATTTATATTTGGGCTTTAATTCGACAATTTATAGATTTAAATGAAATAATTATACCAAAAATTACTAAAACCAAAGCACATGATGATGATTTATACCATAATTTTTTAGATCAAAAAATTAAAGATCATTATTCAGATAGGAATAGGGTATATTCGGTTAATTTTAATTTTTTTCAACTGGATAAAATAGAATATATGCTTACATGGAATAATATTATTATCGAAAAACCGATTAGACGTTTCATACGATATTATAGTGAAATTTTAAATTTAGAAAAATTTTTTAATCTTCGAAGAAATCGAAAATATACAATAGATAGCGTAGAATGGGCAATTACGTTTGAATTCTTAAAGGAAAATGAAAACGTTTTACAAACTAATTTCCACACAACTAAACTACGTCTTTATAAAATTAAGAATTTAATTGAAGAAATTCCTACTGTAGAACAAAGAAAATTGATTAATTTTGATATATATAAGGATTGGAAATGTCCTGTCTGTGAGCGTAAAAAAGAAACTTTTGGACATGTGTGGCGTTGTTATTCAAATCGTAAAAAAATGAGAAATATTATATATTATTCGATTATATGTTTAATTGAAAAAATTAAAGAATACGATATATATACCTTCGATGAAGCTAAAATAATTGATTTATTTATAAACGAATCTTTTGGCGAAGTTAAAGTTAATAATAATAAATTAACTTTCGTAGATATTATTAAAGGATTATTTCCTAAATTATTAGCTGATTTCTTACGACAAGAAATTAAAATGACTAAAGTTCATTTATTCGAAACTGGAGTCAAATTTTTAGATTTCGTCTTTGATTCTACACATAAGATTTGGGTCGAAAGATGTGATTTACAAAAAGACAAAGAAAAAAGTTTAGGTGTTACTAAAGAAGATAAAAAACATTATAGTTATGATAATAATATAGTTAAAAAAGATATTAATCATAAAGTCTATCAAAAGGTAGAAGGGCTTTTGAATAATATATATTTTAATATAGAACCGTTGGATTTTATAGTTCGTGTTAATCAGTATACTATTCAAATAATTTTTTCTTTTATTTTATTTTATTTTATCTTTTAAATATGTTCTTTTATTTTCGCCCAAATGGGTTGATTTTTTTTATTTTTTTCTTATTTTTGTTTAGTTATCCTGGTTCATCAGGAATATAGTAATTTTTAGTATATTCTAGATGTTTAGTTTTGTATTATTGTTATGTAGATTTATTCTATTACTGTTATCAAACTAATGACACGTGCTGTAATGTTTCTTTTTATAATAAATAAATTTTTCGTTAACCAGTAAAAAAAAAAAAAAAAAAAAAAAAAAAAAAAAAAAAAAAAAAAAAAAAAAAA